CCGATAATGACACGTTATGGAAGTTATATGCTTGGGCTTGTAGCTGTAAAAAAGCGCCTGGTTAGAAGTCTATCGATGCTCTAGGAGTTTCAATTTTTATTTGCATAATTTCACCCACCCACCCCCCTATCCAACTAACCCTTCTATTGAGTGTCTTTTTAAAAAGTGACATTTATGTGTAAGTGCCTCAGCTTCTATGCTAATCATATAATCCTATTTTCTTTCCCAGTTTCGCAAATAACACCATTTGATCGTGTCAGTTTTAAATTCTTGAGCTCCACTAAAGTACAGAATTTAAAGATGTCCCTTGATTATATTTAGACAGATTGTTTTGTCATTGGGGAAGTTTGTAATCGAAAGTCAGAGTTTTGAGATTATTATTTTCCAAAACGTCAAAGGATTAAAACGCTGAAAACGTTTATTAACAGTTCGCACGACAGATCTGCTGGTGTTCCTATGTTTTCGTTGCATACCAAAGATTTTGTGTTTGTGTCGATATCACCCTTGCCGTCATCGAAGTATGGTCACCATTACGCCCTCTAACACTATCGCTAGTAACACCATATCTTAACCACCATAAAAACGATTTTATTATAACTTTCAGTATCATCATTATCGCCCCCAACACTGCATAATCCTTATCCTGAACACCACGCTACAATCACCATCCCTTCTCATGCCATCCCCTGTCAGCATCATAGCTTACAGAATCACCATTACCACCCCCAACAATACCCCCATATTTCCTTCCAATACCATCTCCTTTCAGCATCACCATTATCGTGCCAACAATACCCCATAACCCGTATTCTGAACACCAGACTACAGTTACCAACCCTTTTAATATCGTCTCCTTTCAGCATCATAACTTTCAGTATCATCATTATCGCAACCAACAACACCCCATAATCCGTATCCTGAACACCACACTACAATCACCAACCTTTCCAATATCGCCCCCCTCACTGCCAAAATCATCATCACACACAATACTTTCAACATCATCCCTAGTACTTCTTTAATGATGAACATATTTTATTGCAGAAAAAATATACAAGGGGGCTGGCAAAAACGTACCGATAACCTCTCCCGGCACTTGTACTTTCTATTACCATCACCCTCATCCCCATACATGCAAAATTTAAAAATAAAGCAATTCTGAACTCAAAGAATGTTAAGCAGTAATATTTGTATTGTAAGTCTGTTGTGGAGGATGTAAAAAACAACACAGCAACAGCAAAAGGAATAGAATGTTTTAGTTACCGAGAAACAGCCTTCAAGATTTTTCAGGCCGGTTTTTCAGCGGACTGACACGAACAGTTGGTTTGGTCGTTCGGGTAGGGTGAAAAATAGAGATCCAAACATATACACCATGACACTTGTAAATCTAAGAAGAGTAGATGAAAACTCCGTCGCATTGTAACCACATACGACAACATGACCGAAGTATTATTTGTGGAAGAGACTTTCAACCTCATTCCATTCTTCTACTAACTTGAAAAACTGGCGAATTCTGTTCTATTCGTGTTAAGATTTTATTTTTTGAAATTATAAGATTGGGTGTTTGTCTCAATGTGTATAATTTGAGAAACAACAAAAAATAAACGCAACACATTTTATGATAGACATTAATTGTGAATTTTTAGAAGAACCTGTTATTACCCTCTGACAAGAAAATTCTTATAATTGTGATTTAATATATATTGAAGAGGTGGTTTTCGGATTAAATGAATGCCCTGTCAATGTATAATGTGAATACTCTATAATAACACATTTGCTTAGGTTTCTATAGACACCAGGTATTTGATTAGAAAGTCTGTAGCAGGCACACGGTTATTTTCAGGGTCTTACACAATTGAATTCATCTTCAAAAATTGAAGTATAATGAAATGAAATTGTGTTTGATTTCCTACTTTTCTTCCCCGACTGGGCTAATGGATACGGGGTTCACACCGGTCATAGTAAAAGAATATGACTATAACTGGAAGCAATCGTTAGAAATGTAGAAAGCTACAAACAAAGGCAACAAAATATACTCTCATAAGGAGCCCAGCATCATTAGTACTCAGTCCTTGGGAGCTGAAAATCACACGGGAGTGACAATTTGTGTTTGCCATATATCTTGCTGGAGCAATTTTTAGCGGAGACTATATAATGTTTATTATTATTAATAGTCTAAAATTACAAATGTTCATTAAATAAACACTATTACAATTAATTTACTGTTTTAACGTGAGTGTTCATAAATATATAAAAGTAAACAAAACATTTGAAAGAATTCCCTTTTCTTCTGTTATCATAATACATGTAATGTATGTCAAATTACCAGAAAACTAAAATACATTTAAATTATGGATGTTCAATATCGATTAAGTATAGATCAGTTGATTAGTCAACTGATTGTTTAGATACATTCAGAGTCACTTGAATATTGGACATCATTTGATCTAGACTCCAAGTCTATACGGCTGGAGTTTTCAAAGTCACTCATGTAATCATTATCAGATTGAGAAGACGAAATGTCAGACTCCTCTGATGTTTTAGAATCCTCAGATAATAAAATCCAACTTCAGGTGCCTTTAACTGATTGTCAGTATGAGGTGTTTTACCCAATACAGACATGTGAGATGCTTGGGGCTTGTGTAGTTTATTTTTTTCTTTTTAGTTGAGTGATAAGTATCTAAAGCACAAGATATACTGTGATCTTTGTCTTCAGAGCTCCAAACTAGATGGTTAACCTTTAATAGTAATAGGTCTGCCATTGTACTGTGTTTCATGGACAATCTGGAATCTGTCAACATGGCAGTCAAAAGGCTAAAACCATTGTCTACTATACTATTTGATATGCCAATAAACGACACTTTAACATATTGTTTTTCTACAAATTTATTACAGCCATCTTATAATTTCTAGATTTACATTAAATATATGGTCACTGATTCTTGTAACCGTAAATTTGTGAGATTTAGCAATGTCTTCAGGAAGGTCCTCATACAAATCCTTTAGATCAGAAATCAATTTGATCACCCGTTTCAAAAATATTCAGTTTTGATGATTGCAGAAAGAAAGGTACATGTAGTTTTGATATTCTCGCCAGAACAAAAGAGTACAAAGAACAAAGAACACATTGTTAGAAATGTAACGTCAACGAGTTTTTTAACACACACCTAGTAATTTAGAATTAATATTTGAATATTTATTGGCGACAGAATTTTCAATCACGACAAGCAAAGTCATCCAGTTGTTTAACAGCACATTTAATCCCCTCTAGTGATTACCAATAAAACGTGTTCCACTGGTTTTTGGAAATTTGTAAACATGAGCTTCTAAAGCCTTGACAGTATTTTCAAAGTGTCTTTTAAATTTTCCTGTTATCATCAGACCTTCAATTTCTTTAAAAGTCTTTTCTTTGTGTAATATATCTTTGACAGCTAATTCAACTCGGTGACATACACAATGTATTATCAACAGCCAATGTCTTTCATCTTGTTTCATCCGAGTTAGTAGTCCATTGTAACAGCCCATTTTAACCGAGGCGCCGTCTGCTGTGACTGCCACGAGTTTCTTTGTGTATTGTTCTTGCTCTTAAATACAACATCTATTAAGGCTTTCAGTCGTTGCATCTCCAAAGTCATCTATATTTTGTAAAGCCATAAGAAAATTTTCTGGGGTTCCATTGCGTAAGGTCCGTACTCAAACCAACTCCGTTTCACTGCCTGTTTTATGGATTTGCGATCCGTCCGACAGGACAGTGAAAAATTTAGAACTATCTAATATCTGGCATAGTTGTGCTGCTAATGACAGTTCATGAATAAACTTCCGACAGTTCATGAATAAACTTCCGACAGTTCATGAATAAACTTCCTTCCCTTGGCAATGTTGCCAACACCATCAATTAATTGTACCATATTAGATTTTTGAACATATACAAGTGTTTTAAACGCTTTTAATCACAGCCCCTCTGTGGCTAGGATATATGCTGTTTTCAGTAGTTTTTCATAAACATTGCGTGTAAAGGAGTTAAGAGATGTATTAATCTTGGATTGCCTGGATGAGGCTGAAGCGGACGCAGGTGTAGACGATTCTGTAGAACTGATAGTTGTGTTGCCACCATCTGTCTTAGAATTTGAACTTGTGGATCCTCTGCAGATTCGCTCGAACTCTCTAGCTGCTGCATGTGCCTCAAATAAAAGAACAGAAATAAGCTTATACTTATAGTGTAATATCAAACCAGATAGAGAACTTTGCTCAACACAAATAACGGCTAAGTCTTTATAAGGATGTAATCTGAGAAAGTGCCACCTAATAATTTCTAAAATATTTTGATGAGCCTCCTTTTAATTTGTTTTAATGGAAGATAGGGAGATTATATTGATCATACCTTACTTTAAGTTACTACTCGTGGCGCTGTATACTAGGGCCTAGTATACAACCTATCATGATAATATTATATTATATACCATTATCATAATGTTAATTTAATTATATTTGGAATGTGTTTAACCAGTTCTGTCACATATATAATAATGTCTGACACCATAAGTTATGTACTATCGCTCGGCCGTGTTTATCCGCACCGCAATCACGCCCGTCAAATCTCAAGGCCTGAAAACGTAGTGACAAAATCTGCCACAAAACATGACGTTGTCCTGTCCAGCCAATATGCCATGCAACCATATCACAAATGGCAGATAATAAATCGGTCATTTCTCAGATTTATCACACATGTAGAGGAAGTTGTTTTAATTGTCTTAAAAATAAATATTTATTTTATTTGTCCCTTTAATACATATGTTCACATATTATTTCTTATTCCTCTGTATAAATTTCACAGGTAATTATCAATGTCTAAGATGTAGTAATAACCAATATTAAGTATATAGATTCATGAAGCCAAACACACTGGTTAATAATTGGTTTTTGTGAGAGAACTATAATTTGCTTGGCCATATCTGTATTCGGTATCTTTATTATACTGTTTTCTCATTTTTTGTTTGCAGATGTTCGAGCCAGCAGTATTATTGATCTTATCTCTTAAAGAAGATGCGAATTTTCATAGCAGACAACTTTTAAAAAAAAACGGACAATAGTTATTGCATCGAATTGTATGGTGGGTGTTGAAAGCTTCTTCTCGTCAGCTTTATTCTATTTGTTGTGTGTCAAAATATCGGCTGACAGTCAAAGACCTTAACAAGAACAAACGGCGCAGGTTTAAGCTCCAAGACATTAAAGATTGTCACATTGGTTTTCATTGTGCTTTTGGGATTATTGTGTTTCATGTTTAGAACACGACTCTTCTAATTACTTACAGTGCCGCCTTGATAGATGAAACGTGCTCCTCATTATTCCGATGGTCCGGGGCCCGATTTTGTAATTGGTTTTGACTGGGTCTAGCTGCTTCTTGTATAATTAATCACGTGTAGAATAGAGGATGTAAACAAGCGCGGGTTTTTACTAGTCGTAACTACTCGTTTTTTACTGACACGAACTTTTCACTTGTTCTATACCTCTGGCGCCGAAACAGTATTAAGTTGTAAAATATAACAGTTATTTTGTATAGTTTGCTTTCTAATAATCACCAATATGACCGAAAAGGTAGTCGATTTCAAACTGGAAGAGGCGGAAACGACACAGAAGACTAACTTTAGACAGGAATTGATGAACTACAGAAGTTTTATGAACAACAATGTGTACTCTTTAATGGGAGCAGACGATAAAAGACCTCCAACATGGCGGAACTTTATAACATTGTGTGTGGCTACGTTTTTAGCCATCACATCGGTGATGCCAACAAGAAATTTACAAGCAAGTGTGTACACTGATTCACATTTAGGAAAGTTATCATTATGTTGCATGTACGGTTTTTATTTAATTGGATGCTTCTCAGCCAAGCCATTGATGGACCACTGCAGACCCAAATGTATAATGTTGATCAGCCTCTTTGTTCATGTGCTTTATTCCATTTCTAACGCAGTTCCGTCATTTTACACGGTTCTGCCTTCAGCCGCCATGTTGGGTTTTACCCACCCAGTCATGTGGTCCATACAAGAGCGTTTGATGTTGGGGTACTCGCTCAGTTATACCGCTTCCTCCACGCTCACTCTCCAAAGCTCGCTCCATTCCTTCCAAACTCTCATGGTCATCATCATCCATTCTGCTCATATTATGGGAAACCTACTCAGTGCTGGGCTTATCTCGGTTTCTCACATACACTGCCCTGGACTGTCCCTTTGGGGGAACGAGACTGTCTCGGGTGGCTCCCATCGAATCCACACTTCTGGAATACCAAATACTGAAGATCGGTGGACCTACACGTTGCCATTGATGCCCATCCTTACACGCCAGGGTGGAAGTAAACCCCACGAATTAGACTATTATCAGCTACTTACTGTACTATTTGTCTGTTTCTCGGTTATCGCCATGGGAGCGCTGTTGGTATTTTTTGAAAATCCAGATATTATCATACAGAAGAAGACGGGGAACTGGAAACAGAGACTGGGGAAGTTGTTCTCGATTTCTAGAGACCCCGGGTGGTTTATGGGGCAGATCGGCGCCTTGTTTAATGGCTTTCTCCAGGGAATGCTGATAAGTGATATACTTAAGGTGAGTTGTGTAGTTATTATTTGTGTCTTGTGATTTCTGCTGTCCAACATGTTTTTATAACTTTAAGAAAACCTATATCTTGATACTCCTTACAAACGGTCAACATTGCAGTACTTTGCTACTGCTGTTGTGTATAACAACTTTGTCGAAGTACATAATGTAGTGGCCAAAATCTAGCAAGGTCTATGTTGGCTTTGCGTAGAATGAAGTCAGTGGTTTACGAGGAAGTTTAGGGTTCTTTTAAGCTACTAATAATAAGTACAGGGTCCGTATTCAAAGCTTTTCTGAAAATTAAGTGAAAATACTTAATTTTTCCACATAACCAAGTGTGTAACCTTAAATCGGTATTCAAAGGCTGTATTTTACAGATCCTTGGTAATGTGAAAAAATTAACTGCACATCTAACTTATGGGTTGTCAGCAAACGCCGAAAAGCTAACCTCTGTCATTGAGACAAATATTAGTCTGGATGGGTTGTCAACATTTGAGAACAACTATGTCTTTGGATAGATTATCCAACTGGAAGTGACATAGTTGGTTTAACACGTTCACTGGTCTCTATAGTAAGCATACAGATTTGGCACAAGTTTACTCCTGTATTGTGTTCACGCGTCGTCCTTTGGCCAAAAATCTGATCAAATGGGTTGTTTATTAGGATATTATAAACACGAATTTTTGTTTTTAACGTTTAGTTCACAAAGCCGTCGCGGAAATTCACTCATACTGAACAGTACGCTGTGCCTCAATTCACGCCACATGGCTAATTGTTTACATCACGTGGTTTGATTGACAGCTTGCAAGTGAGAGACGTTTCGTCTGCTTGAATGTTTTTGTGCGTGCTGAGTCTGCTGACATTGTTTTTATTTATTTCAACGAACTTGTGGCACATATATATTCAAAAAATAAATATATAAATTTCCAAAGTATGTCAACGTCAAATACCAACGTATTGGAATAGAAAATATCTGTTCTATGGGTTTGCAGTAATGCCGTATAAACATTCGACCCCAGCCATTCTCAAGAGGAAATGGAAGAAAAAAGGAAAAGCCGTTCACGTCGACATTATGTGCCAAAATGCACTATATTATATGTCTTACATGCCCACATAATTTTGATCTGTTTATGTTGGAAAAAGCTGTCAGCAAGCACAAAAACATCGAAGCAGACGAAATACATGTCACTGGCAAGTTGTCAATCAAACCACGTGATGTAAACAATAAGCCATGTGGCGTGAATTGAGGCACAGCGTACTGTTCAGTATGAGTGAATTTACGCGGCGACTTAGTGTACTAAACGTTAAAAAAACATAAATTCGTGTTTATAATATCCAAATAAACAGCCCATTTCATCAGATTTTTGGCCAAAGGACGACGCGTGAACACAATACAGCTGTAAACTTATGCCAAATATGTATGCTTACTATAGAGACCGCTGAGCGTGTTGAACCAACTATGTCACTTCCTGTTTTAATAAAAAATTAATTTCTCACTTACAAAAACTTTTTTGCTTGTGCTACAAAGGGGATTATTTATCAATATATATTTAAGGTTTATGGAAACCTTGTTGAAAATCGTTGGTCTTCCCCTTTAACATGAACAAAATCTAAGGGAAGTAACTAACCCTAAACAAGATGTCGACGCCCATAAAATTTATTTAAGAATTGCCATTTCAGAAAATCTATTTGCATTTCCTGTTCGGTATCCAACATCTCTTCATGGACCATATTTATGTTTTTATTAATCCTAGTTCGTCGTCACGATTCGTGTCTGTTTATAATAATGCATGAATTATGGGATTTATTTCGGGAATGGGCGTAACTCTTACTTGACTTGGCGAAATGTACTGGACAATCAACATAAAAAAAAAACCCGGTTACCAAATGTTGACAACCGACCCAAACTCTCCCTACCGAAAAGCATGATTTTGTAACTTATGGAATATCCTCTGCTGCCAAAAATTACGAATTTCTAACTTCGAATGCAAGTTATGTCCTCTTAAGAGCACCACTTCTCTACTAAAATCTTAGTTGTCACTGCTAGGAAAAAGTTTGTTAAAATATTATATTGTAACCTTTGAAAATATTATGACTAAAAATGATAGTACGCATCCTTTGCAGAAACAGTTGTTTTTGGTAGGTTAAGAGCACTGCTTCTCTACTAAAATCTTAGTTGCCACCGCTATATTATAACTATAAACGATAGTGCGCTACTATATAACCTTCGGATGAACAGCTGTTTTGGTAGTTGTTGTTTTTTTTTTTTTTTTTTTTTTTTTAGTTTTTAAATTTCAATTTTAATAGATTTCAATTGCAGTTATCGAATAGTGGTAGTATACTGTCACATATTGTAACCTTTAATATTTCAACAATGTGTAACGAATGGAAATAACATTTTCTTCTTACCAATACAGAAAGCCTTTTGGGTTTTAAATTAGATGATTATTTATGAATTCATAGAAATTCTGTCAGTGCCTAAACTTTAGAATCCCAATTGCCAGGCGTTGATTGTTTACCAAATAAGAACGAAAGATGCACTGAGCATTATTTTCTACTCCTGAATACATATTTCCGATTAAATTGCAATAAGTGATATTCAAAGGCAATGTTAAGTAACTTACTGAATGACGTCACGTTATTTCGCATGCCAATTGAATTTGAAAAACTTGAGCTATTATCCAGATTCAATGTACAGGTTCATTTCCCTTTCACACGTTAGCCATGCTTTTGACCAAACATTCAGTAATCTCTCAAATCCAAGATTGGTTTAACATGCAAGCTGACACACCGCTAGTGGAAATTATTGAAATCAGACTTGTGTTCCGTTTGTCAACTTTGACCTTCTTCTTATGACATCTGTTCTTAGTAATACGATTAATGCATATTTTAGCTGGCATTATTACGTGACAGAATGAAGTCTTTAACAAAGTAAAAAATGCATGATCGCTGAAACATTAAAGCCACTTGTCGACAGTGTAGAAAAGAAAAAAATATAACGCCTTTATATTTCCCAATATAAGGCTTAACACTTTCTGTTTGTTACGAGCAATAAAACGAAAAAAATATGATCCGTATATTGCTTGTTGCGTGCTTACTTTTAATGTCAGATACAAAAAGAAGAAATGCCGATAAAAATCAGGATTTTACATGTTTTCCCATTTGATAATCACAATAAATTGAGAAGCACTGGTGTGTTTCGCCTTTGTCAAACCTTCAGATGGAATAATTAGGGTTTCACATAGCGTAACTTGTGTGAAACACTATTGTTTTTGTTTAAGATTATTATTAGGGTTTCACACTGCTGTAGCTTGTCTGAAACACTATTGTTTTTGTTAAGATTATTAGTCTTATTATTACTATGCTTTTTCCATTTTGATTAGATCTCAGAAACTGGTTGTCGCATCGTTACGAAGTCTTCGGTTTTACTGGGAGAGTGGGTATGACTTAGAGGATAAAGCTATTTTGAACGTTCTGCGATAATGCGAAATGTCCAAATCACCGAAGTTGTTGTTTTTAATAATATTGCAATCATTTTCACAATAATCGTTGGTTTTTAACTTTCGATACATTTTGGCATAGCCTGAAACAGGGCACATAGCTACGCTACTTTTGATTTTTGGTTTTCGGCAAATCGTTGTAGATATTCGGCGTCAAATTTAGAAAATTTAAATTTTTACAAAAAACTTTTTTATTTATGAATATTTCTTGATGGTATTTTATACAGGATTAAATATTTTGTCTCGGTAATTTACATTAGCTTATTACATTACATGGCTTATTCAGTTTTTCGGTCCTAGATTAATTATTTATTGTTCGATTTGTATAAAACAATTTTTATATTCTCCGTGGTTTCAATTGTGTGTTGTTTTTCGTGTCGGCGCCGGAAGTGGCGTAATTTTACCAAAAACTACAATTTTGACAGTTCGGTACCACTTTTTGAAAGTAAATATTATTTTTTTTAAAATTGATGTAACTAAACGGGTGAGACCTTTAAATTCGCACAAAAGTGTAAGCTCATTTTTTTTTAATTTCGATTATTATTTTCGGGCCATTTCAATTAAAAGATGAAAAAAGGTGTAAATTTAAGCTATTTACAATCCATTCAGCGTCATCATATTTTAAAATATTTCATCGTAACTTTCATAAACTCATAGCAATAATCCATTCGAAGAGAATGTATGTGAAAATTAGTTTGTAATATTAGCAGTTGCCTAGAAATAGGCAATTTTGTATGCGTCACTTTTCACGTTACTTTGCCTGTAAAAGAGTCAAGTATTATACGATTTTCAATTTTCTTTCACCATTTGATGCCTAATGCCAATTTTGACAAGGTCAAATGAATTTAACATTTTCACTGTCACAAACGGGTCTTATGATATTTGATTCCAATCAATAAATAAAATGAACCCATAGGATCATACAGATACCACAAAATGGTTTCTAACTTGTTCGGTTGTAGAGAAAAAGGTTTTTGGTCTATAAAAGTGTGAGTTATTATTCGATTTTCATAAAATTTTCACTATGTGATGCCTTATGCCATTTATGATTTCATAGAACTAATTTAACATTTTCATTATCAACTGAAGTAATGTCATTTTGGCAAAAGCTGTATTTTTAGCCTCCAAAACAAATATTTTGTTGTAATGAGTTAAATTTATTATTTGTTTGAAATTGTGATACTTAATTCCAATGGACATATAGATTGGATCAATAAGATGATATAGATATATAAAAAAAAAATTTCTAACATATTCTCTTGCCGAGAAATAACCAATTTCGCCAGGTTCACTTTTAAAGATTTTCCGCATTTTAATTTCAGTTTATGGGTTCTAGGTTTATTATTTATTGCCCGATATGTATAAAACAAATGTTTCGTGGTGAACATTCTCAACTTTTTTGTTACCGATAAAAGGTTGCTGTCAGCACTGGAAGTGACTGAATTTTGCAAGAATTTACAATTTCGATCGGTCTTTTCGCAAGCAAATATTAATTTTTACAAATTTGAT